GTCGTAATTGCTGTCAGTTGTACGGTATTTATGGTTGTGGCCACAAATGATATGATAATAAAGAAAGGAGTATGTCGTCTGCGCCGATGACAAGTGGACGTGGCTCGGCGCAGATTTACGCTATGATTGCGTCTGATGTGTCATGGGTATGCGAGCTATTACGCTTAGTTTAACTTGTCATTTTATACGGTGATGTCGGAGATGCAAACATACTGTTAGGAGATTGACGGTTCCTTTTAATTGCTGTTCTAGCTGCTGGTTGTATCATAACTAAATTTAACACAGGTTTTATTCTAATAGGAGTTGGTATTACTCCTGGAGATGTTTTCTGTGGCTATTGTTAAAACGCAATATTATTATGTTAAAAATTTAAGTCTCAAAAATTTGATTGCAAAGACGATATATAAAACAGGCTATTAAATAGCTAGTAACTTACTGTTGTGAGTGGGGAAGCGCAATAAAATTGACAAATCGCCTCTGTTATGGCAATAACTGTTTCAGAACTTACTTAGCGAGTAAAAAATGAGCGTGCAGTGTAGTCGCGATTGTCGCCTACCCTTGGAATAAAGAAATATCGTAATGAAGAGTCCGACCGATACAATAAGTTCACACAGCTCCTGCCGACAAATGAATGGATGAATGTAAAATAGTTGGCTTCAAATTTACATTTTGATTGGAAATTCTATGAATCTGCCACCACACGAGGTGGCTCGGGAAAAGTTAATTCACAGTTGGGACACGGTAACGGAGCAAGCAATCGATAGTCTCACACACTGAAGGCGTAATGTACTTACTTGGTAACAATGATGTGCCTGATGCTCCCACTCAACGTTATCCTTATTCCAAACAACGTTACTTTTAATGCCAACATTTGGATCAATATTTGCTACCAAACAATTATTATATGTACAAGACGGTTTAAGATTTATTAACTCTCTTGCACTCAAATGTCAACTTAATTTACTTACCATTAGTGTTGCATCTAATTTAGGTACTGTACATATTCATCTGGTGGCTTACAAAATACGCTTCTAATTTTCCAAAGATATTCCATTACAAAATAGAAGTGAATAAGTTAGTTGTAAGTAATGAACAACTCGTAAACCACAGCAGTATTTCACAGTCTCCCAGTCGCACATTTATCCAACTTAAAAGTATTTCGCTTAATAAAAACAAATCGAAATGCCATAGTTATGTAAATGAACAGTTTAATCGATCGTAAATCCATTGGATCTTATTTCTATCGGATTGCTTTTAGATTTACCGTGTAGGATTGCGGTTTGGTACTCAACAATTTTGGGCTTGCTTCCTAAACGCTGGGTTCGTATCCTGATAAATCAAGATCTGTACTCATTTGAGTATTAGCTAATTCAATACTTATGAGGAAAAATATACAATCCACCTTAACGGTTTCCTTATTGATCTTCTATAAAATTGGACCTTCGATATCTAAGTCTACCTCTTTTCTATTAATAAACCGCTTCATTTTAGGTCAAAAACCTTTGCGTGTAGTTGCGTAGGTATACAAGATCTTAGTCTAATCAAAAACTATTTTAGTTATACATATATTTCTTAGTAATTTTCATATTATTATAACAAATGTAATCATCATAAGCTAACGTTATTTGAAATATAATCGCGTCCGTAATGGAACTCAATCAGAATGTAATTGCGCTGTTTGATGTCTCCGAATTGTATTAGAGTATGATATTAAAATCGTAAACGATATGGGAAAATTCGATATTGAATACAATAGTATACAAAAGGGAAAGCCTGACGGTAATCATGGAATTTTTTCAATGGAATGTTTATACAGTACATGAGTACATCCTCATGATTGTTTTGCTGTAGTTGGACGATTATCGAAACAATTGTAATTGACTTTGGATATTAATCTCTCTTTTTGATCTACATGCCTTCGCGTCTTGTGACTCCTTCTGGTCTCTGGGGTCACAATTGAGTGATTTGGTTGACTGGTTACTTCTAACTCTTTAACCAATACAAACGTAATTTGTTACTTGTTTAGTTGAGAGCATTTTGACTGAATCTATTTTTAAGGCCCCATTTTGATCTAGAAAACATTTACGAGTTTTTAGGATATAAAATAAATTATACTCAAAAATAAACATCAAAGTGTTAGCGAAAGTTATTTTTGCATAAACGAATTGGTAGCAGAATGTGTTTTAATGCTAGTTTATAGATAGTGTGCAGAATTGAAAGCTGCAAGGTCGACGAAGGCAACCAGTTTGGTCGGACCGGGTGGTCGGGCGCTACCAGTTCCAACACTTGCACGCGTCCGTCCAAACTTATTAATTAACATTTAAATATGTTACGCTATTGCTCTGTCATTAGTTATTGGTTCTCGGAAACTGTTATTTTGGTTTAATTTAGATCAATACGCTTTATATTTTTCGAAGCGACTTTCAGCATTTATGTTATGTACCAAATAATATGGATATTCTGTTGCTGTACACCGGTCACATTGATTCAAGTTATAGTTAAATTTAGATTGATAAAATCGGGACCCCATCTTATCTTTCTCAATCAGGATTATTTAGTAACTATATCATTATCCCACAATGCTGTCATTACACCATCAACTTGACGCAGTAATTTACAAACATAATATACATTAAACGCCTCTATTGAAACGCAATATACAATAGGAAACTAGTTTATCCAGAGCTGGAGCGGTGACGAGCAAATAGTTATCTAGGACAGCTTCACACGGTAGCACAGCCTCAGTTACTACTGAGCTCTACTCGAACCCGACTGGTAATCTCCAGTCATTACTGTTTGCCCTTTGATTCGTATGAAGATTCCGAATCACGTCAAGCTACCCCAAACTGTTAATATACTTCTATGGATTTTCAAACCTATAGTAATATTGTTGAAGTTGAATGTTTGTTAGAGAATGTTGATAGTTTGATGGTAGCTTTATGTACAAGTGTCTGTTCGTTTGGTACCGATCGGTGGCTCAAATCGAGTGGCGTAATTCGTGTGTATGCACACAATAATTACAACGTTTTGGTTAGATATAGAATTAGTCGAGTTTGTCATGAATTGTACTGAAAAAATACTACATTTCGGTGTTACTGACACAATTATTCATCATCATAATCATCATCAGTGTGCTTCCCTCCACCGCTGGACTTGCTTGACCTAATTTCTTGATGCTGATCGTCAGTGTCAAGATTCGATTAAACTTTTAATCTCACTAACTCAAAAGGCAGGCTGTTCTTAACTGGCTGTTTGTTCTAAACATCACGTATTCATATTCGAAGTAAATTTTGTCTCGCTTTCTTTTATTACATGTTCATTACCTACCGTTGTTGTCAATCTCTCTTTGCCAGAAGTAACATTATTATTCCTACTCACGATCAAAATTACATTAGCAAAACAAACAAAGGCTTGTCATTTTTAATTCAGACCACACTATGTTTTGTAGACCACTCCAACATTAACAAATAGGCAAAACAGCCATCAGCTTACTAATAAGGCCCTTTTTACGAGAAGTGCTGTTCGGTGCGACTGTCTCCCTAGCCGCAGCATGCTTCGCTCGCTTTGCTAATGAGACCCTAGAGATATTCTTTCCATTGCCATCTCAGAGAGTTACTATCCTTCCAACATCTACTACATCATATTTACAACAGTTTTTTATTTCTCTTGTTATATTGTTATTGACCTCATTTTTAATTACTTTGTGTTGATATTATTTTCATTGTTAAAGGTTTGAGTGCCACTAGAAACATTTCCATAAAGACATTTCATTGTGACATTTGTTCCTGTTGTTTGTTTGTTACGTTCACGTGACTTGTTGAATTGTTAGAGACACAAAGCCACGCCTCAAAATGTATTATAGTAAAAAGTTCTTTGAAAAAAATCCTGGTATTGTGTCTTGCAAAGTTTCATCCGAAAGCACGTTGTTAGTTTACTAGACCCAGTTCTTTCATCCAAACTTCAAGGTCGTGAACGCGATCAAGCGAACGATGAACTCCCTCTTCCGAAAATTATATATTTTATTTGCAAAAAGCTTTCGATACATCCGCTATAAATTGGGAGGCTCGAACGGTTTCGGCGTTGCCTGTCCATCCTCAATTATTAGTATCCCGTCGTTCGGCTAATTCATCAAAACAAAATTACAGACCATTGAGCCGACTGGCGATGTAAAAAGGCTCTTAACTTGAGTAAAATGGGAGTTGTGGATTCAAAGAATTTAGAGGGAAAGGTAAGGTTTTGCTTTTAATAATTTGCCTGCTTAAGATGGTAACAATTCTCAAATATTATAACCTTCCTATAAAGTGTCTTTACTGACAGAATCCGTGGTAACGGGAACCTCTCCTACCAGTACTTCATATTTTACGGGAGGTCTTACATAAATCGATTTTGTGGCTTTCGACGCGTGAAATTATAGACAAGATATTTCGTCAGAATGAAATCAATTCACACGGAGTTGAAAGGAATACTTTTTATTTTAATTGTGTACGTGTTACCTGTGTATTTGAGTGAACTGAGCGGGTGAATTCACTGTTTTATGTCAGTAGGCAGGTTGTAAATCGTTCATTTGCAATTCATATGCGAATGTTAATTCAATTGCACCTTCTTCAACAGCCTTGGGCGGTTTAATTTTTTTTACGACAGAAACAATGGAATTAAACATTTTATGAAAGCAGTTCGTTGTAACAGAGGTTATAGTTATCCTTAATACAATCATTTTAAAATCAATTATTTCTCTATTGTGTTTAAATGTCAGTATTTTTGCCTTTACATTTTTCTTGAAGGGTGCCGACTGCTTCCCTTTTTAGTTGGTATGTTGGTAACCAATGCATAATGTTCTTTATCGTTTTGGGTTCTATAGTGTAGATTAGCTTGGCGATTCTATGTTTTGAAAGGGCGAATTCAAGTTACGAATATTCTACGAGGGTTCAAAATTGCTTGAATCTTTCTGGGACAACTTGCAATATTTCTGGCGATTGCAAATTTACCTGCTGCCCCAGAATATGTGGTGGATGACAGACCATTGGGGCTACGTCTATTATTTTCGATTTGATTTACAGTATGTTGTACAGGATAATTTTGTTAAAACTGTGTATTTGAATGGTTTTCAATATTTTAATGAACCAGAATTATTAAACATGATACATTTTAAAACTGAAAACGTTTCACAAATAATAAATAAATACATTTGTATGAAAACATTTGACATATTTGTTAAATTCATAAATCACAACACAAGCACAGCCAAATTGAGTTTTATTTGTACATTTATTTCTATTTTACGACTCATATTAGATTTTTATAGTCAAAACCAGTTGGAGTGAAAAATGGTGAAGTTTTGATGAATTTTACAGTGATTTGAAAGTGAATATTTCGTGTGGCGTAGACCTGACCGCAGTACTGGATGACAGGATGCGGTTTTAAGTGATACGTGCTGTGACAGTAACTACTGTTTCCCAGGGTACAATGGTTCCTTTCATACATATTTCCCGCAGAGCTTTATATGCGTTTGAGAATTGATACGTTGATTGCCCTGTTTTTCTAGCGGTCGGAAACTACTACTCAGTCTGTCCCGGTGCTAGCACTGACTAGGCTTGTCGACTCTTTCAAAGGCAAGGCATTTGTTTCAAGACCAATACGGGCAGTTCAGAAAGACAAAGTGGTGTAAGTTCCTACGGATGTGCAACACCGTTTTGAATTCCCAAATTATTTAACCGTTTCTCTTCTTTAAGAATCTTTTGTGAATGGTCTTGTATCTTAAATAGAACTAATAAACTTGTTCTAAGTTTAGCTTTATGATAATTGTAGTAATACATAATTGTTGTGTGGGAGTGTTCCTAAAATTGGCATTAGGGCATCAGCCTGTCTTAGAAAACCATCGCTATTGGTGTTCTCTATGATTGTTTTAATGCTATTAATGTATTTATACCCTTTATGGAAATCTTACGTAATATATATATTTTTATTAAGTATGTCCCTTTTCTGATATCATAAATATTTTTTCTATTAGGTACGGCTTCTTTTCCTTATTACACTGAGATTAAAGTACAATTTTCTTATGATAAAATCGATGAAACGAGATAGTAACAGTGTTATCCTAAAAATATGTCACGTATTGATAAAAGATAAGGTCGTCTGTGTTGGGCAGGTTGCCATTGAAGTCAACAATGCAATGACCTCCGTGACCTTGACGATGTTCGCGGCTGCGGTGGAATATCCCTTGCGTGACATGATTGGCAGAAGTGCGTGTAGGTCGGGTACCAATAACTTTTCCATAGCGTTGTTTCTCATATTAATTGTACGTGCGTACATAACACGCCTTATTATTTCCTATCCTTTTTACATCCTATAGCCAAATTAAAAAATTAGAACATAGTTGGTGAGTACAACATCCTTGCTAATTACTATCATCAACGTCGTTTGTGGCGTCTTTGTTATCAGTGTGTGTTATGTTTATGTTGTTTTCTATGATCATTTACCTAATATTATCATAGTTTAACACAAACAGAAACAAAAACATTTGTTTGTAACACAAACTTCCGATCCCAATCTCCCATCAAGGGTTGAATTTACTAAGTTTTGGAACACATGTCTTATATTTTTTAACAAAAGGCCTAAATAAATATTGATCCACTTGAAAAATACGATTTTCATACAAACTGTTTCGCCTTTTTTGTCCCTTAGGAATTGAATTTAAGAAAATACTTTCTTAGGCGAAGGTCTGGAACATTTTAGGTGTTAAAGAATATACATTTTCTACCTTTATTATGTACTTTACCGTCGCCGTTGACAAGTCATTGAATTGTTATACGGCCTTTGGGTGGACAGATTTATTTGTCAGTGGATTTATAAAAAGAAACAAAGTAATATTTAGGTTGATTGCTTAAGCGAAGATGTTAAACGAGGTTTTCATAGCGCACAATTCCGTTCATATCGTGGCAACCTTGTACTAAACCACACAATTAGCGCACCGGGGAATTCAACCTTGTCCAACCTGCCACCACGAAGATGATTTGCTAAACACAATCTCAAGAAACCGTACAAAACAAACGCTCTTTCAGAATGAATGCTATAAAAATAATCCACCGCAAAAATTGCCTCAATAAAATTCAGAATTTGGGCTATACAAAATTTAATAAATATTTCCCCCGAGGTGATCGCTTAATACCTGATGGTTAGATGTCTGCAATCTCCTCCAGTATTAGCGTTCGGCGGGTCGTCGTACTAAACATTTCAAAAAACATGATTTACTTTTCTTAACGAACTACGTATTGTTTTCGCACACACGAGCATGTGTACATTCCAATACAGTAACACATCCATGTCTATATTTACATCATCTACATACAAATGTGTGCCAGTGTAATACTTTAGCTGGTAATTGTCTCCCTTTGTTAAAGTATTTATTTTTCTGTGTTACAGGCCACACGATATGATGCTCGAGTCGAGCCGGTAAGTCAACTTCGCCACAAACAACTCTTTAACGTAAATCGTTCACATCTATTAGTTTAACTTTACACAAAGATGTTTCATTGGCACGTTTGTCCATTACTCTGTGGCTGTTGACCCGTCGTTTTATTGGAAAATGTTTAATAACTTTTCTTATTTTAGTAGCCCTTTAAAGGAATTTATCTCGTCTACCTAATTTAGTTGGGGTCTTTAATGGCTCGATTCTCTTAAGAACATCAGTTAGATTGTTTATGTATCGATCGTTGAACTATGTTGCGAAGATTTCATCGTAAATGGTTCGTGTATTGATGCAGTTGTCGGCTTATAATTAGTTTCGCTTATTCACTCACCGACACAGGTGCGTACTATAGGAGCATCAATTACGTGAAAGTTGCGCGTTTTCTAATTTCTAATTTAATTGCGATGTACAACGTACACATCCAATACTAGAGCATTTACAATTAATGTTTCGCTATTATTTACGGGACTGCTATGTGAATTATTTGACTAATTAAATGCTCTCTCCTATTTTATTGGAATGATGAATTAAATTTCAGCTTTGGTAATTTGATTTGGTTGCTGTACTTAACTAAATTTTAAATTTATGATTGTAGTATTTTCCTCTCTGTGTTTAGTTTTTGTAATTACAATCATAGTATTACGCTTATTTGCAGCATCATAACCTATTTATCTTTATCCACAAAATATACATTCGCTCGCCCATTTCCGAGACAATTAGATTACAGCATCATACACTCATTAATCAGTCCATTTGACTAAATAACTTTGAAAACTCGTCACCGATAAGCAATGCAAATGAGATAAAGTAATTATTTTATAGCGTCATAATCATGATAAACGGACTGGCACAAGCACAACATGGAGTAAGTAGCCGCCGCGGTTATGTAAAGCTTCAGTCACTATAAATCACCACCAGAAAGAGATAGAGCAACATGCCCCAAATAGAAATCGTAACAAGCCAGAACGAGATGGCACGACATCGTGCGTACCGATATCAGTTGCGACCATGAACTGTGAAAGTAAACATAGGGTATTATAGACTTTAATTTATTTATGAGTATATTCCCTTTTTTATTTCCACTTTATTATTATTTACATTACTTAATTTAAACGTCACGTGTTGCATTACAAATTGTACTTTTTATACCATGGAAATTGCTACATAAATGACGATTGTCAAACAGTAAACACAGAGGTGCGCTACCGGAAAGATAGATGGAGCCACGTATAGACATTTGTTTTAATGCTAATGAGTTTTCAACTTATTTCCTTATAATAAAATTGTAGTTAAATGAATTAACATTTAGATTGTTTTGTGTTACTTTATAAAATATATAAGTACGTAGGTATAGTTATAGAGGATTTTCGGTGTGGCTTCCAGACAGCGCGCTATCATCAAATGCTTGCATTATGAGTCCGGTACAAGAATTTATGTGCGCGCACTAAGTTTACGATGTATTTATTGCTCCATCGTCCAGCAAAAGGAGAACCATTGTAATAATGTGAAGCCATGTCGAAACGGACAAACAATGGGGGCGAGCAGATTCGTCCGATTCCAAGTAAACGCCGATTCCAGAAGAAGAAGGTGCATCTAATCAATCACTGCGACTCGCTACAGTAAGTTAAATGGTCGTTTTTCCGTAGGCTCATTTGCATTGTCCTCTTTCTCGTTCTCACTCTAAACAAACACCAAAAGCCAGAAAGAGACGACGATTTTGTCGCAGTGACCTTACCAACGTGCGCGTGCGTTGGTACCGTTGTGCCGTGAGAAGGAATTTTTGTACGATTTAGCCTCTCAGCTGACAATATTATAATCTTGTTTCCTATTATGTAGATAAATTTATGTAACTAAATTCGTCTGGCATTTTATAATTCCAATATTATTCGATTCAGTATAAATATTGTTAGTTCTCATATTTTTGTTTAACTAGCCCATATTTCTATAGTCAATGTTAATTTCGTCATTAACATAATCGTTTGAGGAAAATTATCGTAAACTATACAATTGCTAAAGATTCATGCATAAGCATCACAATTTACAATTGATACTACATAATCTATTAAGGAAGTCGTGATCGCGTGTACAGTACTAAACTCTTTCATGGCAATAATAAAGATCTAGAATATCTATATATATATATGTCTATATATTGGAAACTTACAGTCAGATAAGAAAATAATAAGTTATCCTGTTCATGCAGAAGGACTGACTCTGGCTTATTTATTCGAAGGGAATAGTACGAAACTATAAAGGTGAAAGAGCGGGAATAAGTAGTATTTTAATAGACTGGCAGTGTCTCACCTCACGTCAGACATTAACAAATGATTCAGTACGTAGTGTCTTCATATTTTTGTAAGGAATTTTCCTAAGATAACGGTAAAAGGCTTGAGTAAATCTCACTAAATCTGCAATGATACAGTTTTTTTTTCAAGAGAGTAATGTACTCGGTCTAACAACGTTGACAGGTCTGAGTTACGGTCGCCTATAATGAAATTGCCCTCATTTGCGCGCATACCTTATCAAGTTTTCCATTTTATTTTGTTTGTTGTTCGTGGTTTTCTTTTTGGTATTTCCTTTCCTTGTTCATAAGTGGTGACTGCAAAAACCCATAAAGCAAAATAATTACCCATAATCAATTGATTGCGTTGTGAAAATTTTTAGTAATGTCTGAATCAGCGTCTATAAGTCTGTTGTGTTTTCTAACTTCAATAAATGTAGTGAACTGTTTTTCTGTTCCAAAAATAATTGATACTGACCTAAATCTCAATCTAATTGACTACCGAACGCCATGATTCAACAGTTTTAATTTACTCTAGCAATCTTGAATTCACATAACAAAATTCATTCAAATAA